AAGACAAGATCTGCTGCTCTGGTTTTAACTTTTAAAGTTTGTTTGGGCATGCAACTGCAAAGAACAAACTAAAAGAAGTCTAGACCAGTTGTGGTGACTCACCTCTGCAATCACAGCACTCTGGGAGGCTTAGGTGGGAGGAATGTCTGAGCTCAGGCATTCGAGACCAGCCTGAGCAAAAGGGAGACCCTATCTCTACTAAAAATAGAAAAACTAGCCAGGTGTTGTAGCAGGTCCCTGTAGTCCCAACTACTCAGGAGGCTGAAGCAAGGGATTGCGTGAGCACAAGAGTCTGAGGTTACTGTGAGCTTTGATGCTATCGCACTTTACACAGGGCAACAGAGTGAGACTCTGTCTCAGAAAATAAATAAATAAATTTTTAAAAAAACAGAAGAAATCTAAGGACCATTTTCAAGTATTTGGCTTGGAAACATCAGATTTAAAAAAAAAAAAAATCACTCCTTATCCACACTCTGGGGACAACACAGCCATATTATCTCCTCAGTGCCCTGCCTGGCGCACACCCACTCACATCTCATGCCAGACTGAGTCGGCTCCCAGGATGGCGAGGGAGCCAGGATCTGCTGCCAGCAGGGCCATCTGCTCACCAGTTCCCACAGTCTGAGCAGCACAGCTTCCAAAAAGGTGCTACGAGAGGCTGGCGGCAAATGCAACAAGCAGAGGAGAGGAGGGAGAGAGCTGGATCTCTACCGGCCTGCATCTGGGCATTCTGGGCAGGAGACGATCAGTGCTTGAGACACTTCCCAGAAAGTCTTCAGAGAAATGGTCTGAATTATAACACTGACTCCTCAAAGTGTACGTTCTTATTTGCATCTTATGGATCGTAGTCAGGTGAAAGCAGCTGGTTGCTCCAAGTCACAGTATGCATGGTGGGAGCCCTCTTGGGCCCAGATACAGCACTTGCAGGGAGCTGGCCCCTCTAAGTCTTCCATGTCACAAACCAACACTGCCTGTGAGCAACTCGTCGGGAAGACAGAACATAGCACTCAGGCCAGCTGTGACCACATTCCATGCAAGGAGCTTCACACAAACTGCTCAACACCCCGGGAAGGTAGTTGCATCACCTCTGTTTTACAGGTGGAAGGATCAAGACCCACCACGCTACTAGTGAAAGAGTCAGATGCCCAACCTGGGTCGGCCTGACTCCAAAGCCCACTGTCTCTCCTCAGCATCTCACTATTTCTCATACATGTCTGCAATTTATCAGAGTCAAAAGATCACCAATTTAAACTGTATAAACACTACGTGCAGGAAGACACCTACAGCCCAGTCACTAAGGGACGCACCAGCAGTTAAGAATGTGACAAAAGCACATACACCTGCAACACGGGGCAGCTGTGGCACCTGCCACAGAGAAACCAAGAGCTCCCCAATTTCTCTGAATTAAAGGGAAGTCGTAAACTTCCCTTTGCGACCGGGGTGGGAGCAATTTTAGCTGACTGTGAAGACTGTGGCCAAGCGAAAAGGAACAGGCTTAGACAAAGAGTGTGATCAGGAAATAGGGCAGCCCTAATGGGGAGAGGGGAAGAGACCAGCAATGCAGGGTGGACATGGAATGCAGGGGAGACTTGGGCCCTCGAGTGACAGATGTGGTAGAGGGATGGGCTGATGGGGCCAGGCCATGCCACAAATGGATGAGCTAACGCTGACTTCCTGGATGACCCAAAAGATAAAACTGCTAGTTAAGGAAAGATGGAGGTGAGAAAAAAGGAGAGAAGAATCACCCCCAGTTCTTCTCTTTCCCAGTACCCCTTAGAGATAAAACAATGTCATTTTCTCTCCAGGCTCCATTTGAAGCAAAGACAAATCTCTTCTCCCTACCTCTCCTCCACCTGAACAAACAAAAGCAATGACTATGTCATAAGTTTTTTCTCTAGGACAGCCTTCCACAGAAAAGATCTGAAAATGTAAATTAACATGTGGATATGAATGGGTTTCAATCAAAGCTTAAACCAGGACCCCAGAGTGTATCCCATTTGGCAGGGAGGGTTAGAAAGCAGGGTGGTGTTATCTGCCGCAAAAGGGGGGTGGAATGAATGTCAAATTGAGTAAAGAGGTACTTAAAACAGAATGTGAGGAAGGGAGACAACCCAGGGGCTTGTTGGCCAGGTCCCCAACCCCAGCTCAGGGTGTCCCAGTAGTCATGATGACATTGGAGGCCTGCTATAAACAGTGAAGAGGGGCTCTCAGGCATCAGGCTGACTTTACATCCCAGAAGGCAGCACGAGTCTTCAGTTCTGGCCCCAAACACTGCTTCTAACCACTCGGGCTCCCTCCCTTTATTTGTCCAAGACAGCTGATGCGACTGTATGACTAACCTGATCTCCAGAGAGGCAGAAATGGTATGATCAATTTGGATGTTAGAGGTGGCAGAGACCTTGCTTTTTAAAAAAAAAAAAAAAATATTTTGGATTAACATAAGGGTATATACGATTAGGTTACATTATTGCATCTGTCAGGTAGAGACCAAGGTGTAGTTGAGTCCTCTTTCACCCAGAAGGTCGCCACATACCTCTATGTTGTACCCGTCAGGTGGGAGCTTACTAAACCCCGTCCACTCTCCTTCCTGAATTTAGTTGTGTTTTTCTCTCAGGTGTGCCTGTTTCAGAACAGTATCACATACATTGGATGCTTTCTTTTCCATTCTTCAGATACTTTACTTAGGAAGATGTTCCCTAAATCCTTCCAGGCAAACACAAAAGATATAAAGTTTCCACCTTTCTCTGTGGCAGAATAGTGTTCCATGGTATACATATACCATAGTTATTAATCTGTTCGTGGACTGATGGGCACTTGGGTTATTTCCACATCTTGGCAATTACAGAGGCCTCACTTTGAATATAGTATTTCCTACGTGCAATCTCAGGCCTTAGGTTCTTCACCTATCAACCGGTTGTCCTGAGGATTTAATATGGCAATATGTAAAGCTGCCAAAGTGCCATTTCCCATCCCTTTGTAAGATCCTCTACAGTTCTAAACTAGGCAGAGAGAAAGAGACCTTTTATTAGCGAGGACGCATAACACATTTTCATATCCTTGCCATTTATAAATTCTTATTAACTGAAAACAACTCCATACACTATGCTGTCAGCTCATTAATGGTAATTAAAAAATAAAAATAGTTCTTTGTCCCAGAGACGGCCTAAGTGAGAGGGCTCAATGCTATCTCATGGACTAAAGAAAGAGATAGGCTCAAGAAGTAGAAGGGATTCCCACCCCAAAAGGGACTGGGGGGGCACTCTAGAGGGCAGTTGGGCACCTGAGACTGCAGCTGCCCAATGAGCCCCCTCCCAGGTCCGCC